AAAAAAAAAAAAAAAAAAAAAAAAAAAAAAAAAAAAGGATTCTTAGACAAGAACAGTTAGTTACACAGCTTCTTGGTAACCATCTTTTCTACAGTAGGCTCTGTTTGCTAGAGGCAAGGAGAGGTGTGGTTCCTTTAAGAGAGGCTTCCTGCCTCAGCATTAGCAACAAAAACGGCATGGTGGCTCTTTTAAGAGGCTCTGCCACCAAACACTTAAGTGGTGTTTATGAGCAGCTGGCATCAGGCTTCTTGGTGGTGGCATGGACCTAGAAACGCCACAGATTTGTGACAATAAACATGGCTTCTGCCAATACTCCTGCCTTGAAGCTAGACTCTCAGGAAGTCAAGGAATGGGTGGAGCCAGCCATCAAGGCCTCAGTTTTAACCCTAGTCATACTGCTTAGCAAATTGGTCAGAAAAAGAGATATACAGTAAAGACAGATTCATATGAAAAAAACCTCTAAATGGTGTATAGTGTGTTTAAAAATATAGGTAGGCTTGGGAGAGAAAAGAAAAAGGATAGAGAAAATCCTTTTAAAAAAGAGCACTTGGATGTGGTGGTGCACTCCTTTAGTCCTGGTACTTGGAAAGCAGAGGCGGGCAGATCTCTGTGAGTTCGAGGCCAGCCTGGTCTTCAGAGTGAGTTCCAGGACAATCAAAGATACACAGAGAAACCCTGTCTCCAAAATCCAAAAATTAAAAAAGAAATAGTTTTTTTTAAAGGCTATGTAAAGATGGAAAATACATAGAGAATCTGGAGACAGTGTGTTACTGTGTTGTTTTTGAATTGTTTGACTGCTGAGGAAAGAACAACAAAAGACATTTGATTATGAATGCTGCTGGATTAATCCAACCTATATATTTTGAAAATGCCTTGACTTCAAAATTAAGTCAAAAGATATGTTATTTTGGAGAAAAGGTTTTGCTTTTGTTTCCACAGGAAATGAGAGGCTGTAGATTGATTCAAGGTTAAGAAAATAAGATTTGATCAAGGAAGACTACCTGAA